AGTGATGAGCTCATCTCTCTGTCACTCTGCTTTCTCTCCCCTTCAGCATTCTTCTTGTCAGCACATGAACTGATTGGTTCCTTGTACTGCTTCTTTCTCTCGCTCTCCAGCTCTGCTGCATTCATTTTTGCCTTTTTTATCTGTCAAAGAGTTACCTTAAACACATCACTAGAGGACAGAGTAGTGATGTAGGGGTTGGTAGGAGTAACCCCTGAGTGCAGCGGGAAACTGGAGATCATCAATCTTGTAAGTGTCAGTTTCTGAAAAGACTTCAGGCAATGGTTTTTTCTGCCTTCTCTACCTCAGAGTGGCATTCATAGGTAGGGGCAGCAGGAGAGATAAGAATTTACTTTCTTCTTTGCAGGAATAGCTCTTATTTAAGGTTTAATTTTAGAAACAGAATCACCTTAATACTTCAAGTGGAGGTATACCCTAAATAACATGTGTTAAACACAAGGCCCACGGGCCATATCCGGCCTGCCAGGCCATTTCATGTTCAAATCAAAGCCTGTGCTGTAAATGGGCGCTGGGCTTCACAGGTAGTATGCTGAGGTCCCCGGCAGAGGGTGAGGGTGTCTTTGCAGTTCTTTTCTTCTGAATTCTTATAAAGCCCTCACTCCTAGGTAGAGAGAGGCCCAGGACTCTAGATGGTAAATCTCCCACTTAGAAAGAACCTTAAGATCCCCTGTTGAGCTGCTACAGTGTGAGAATGCAATGACTGAGATGTAGGGGGTAATCTCACACAACTTTACCCCCAAAACACCATTACATCAGTTCGATTGATCTCCTACAGCCTCTCTGCAACCACTTCGTGTTTAAATGCACTCACTCCAGCGATGGCTGCATGACATTTCTCCGGGCAGGTTTCCAGATGATGACATTAGTAGACAATGCCTGTGTAATCTGTGTTAAAATGGCCACTTGTGATCTCCATCAAAATCCTGAGTGAAACTACAGGAGCACAGTTGGTAGACAAAGACAGAGCCTTATAACAAGAAGTGTCTGAACAAGGACCTTCATGGCAGGATCAGCAGGCATTATGTTAAAAAGGAAATGAAAATATTGAAAATCAGTTTTATAATTTACATTGGCATGTTTACCCTAACTCCCTGTTGTGAGTTCTTAATTCTTAACCTTCTCACAACATATCACAATACTCTTAAGGCCTCACTACAACTTTAACCTTGATACCAAATATCAACCCACTGAACCAAGAGTCTAACACCTACTTATCTTACCCCTAAACGAAACCCTGAGGGCCGGTGCACACCTGGGCGATCCGTGACCGCTCGGCAATCATGTACTGTGAGATTCTGCACCAAAAAAAAAACAGAACCTGAACATTGAAATACAGTAACAAATTCCTGGTGCCACAGCCCACTGTTCCAAATAGCTAATAGGTATCATGGGATTATGATAAGCTGGCTCACAGCAGGGCACTTGGCAAATATTTCCTTGTAGAAAGGAAACATGACTATATAAGTGGGAAACAATGCCTTAGAAGAATGAGAAATAATGATGCACTATTAGCACTGCCAACAGTCATACTGTCGCTTGAGAGATACTTGGGAAGGAGAGACCCCGTCGTGTGACTAAAAGCAGTGGGGGAAAAAAATGAATTGAGCCTCTTGGTAAAGAGAATGTATAGGGGTTGTGTAATATTTTCTTTCTTCTCTGGTATTATGGACAAAAGTTTTCTTACCTTTTTTTACCTGTTCTAAAAAAAGTCTACTAAGTAAAGAGCTAAACAGCTCAAACTAAGATATAAACAATTAATGAGTTAGAGCAGTGACTCATCCCTCTCTTTGTCTACTTTTTTCAGATGGGGCCTACAGAGTTTCAATTAGAGTCCAAAGGTAAACTTCTTCTGCTGTTCTTTCTTTAGCAAAGTGTTAAAAATAATCCAAAACCTAAAAATAAAATTGACATAAACCAATATAGTTTACCTTTAAATAAGCAATGTATTGAAATCAACCCAAATAGGCATTTTTATTCATCTATCTACACCGAAAAAAGTAAATGAATAATGTCATATGTTTGTGGTATATCTGTGCAGATTGCTTGTAGAACATATAGTGCAACTTGCTAAAAGTGTATGTAACCCCTAACAATTAACTACTTTTATTTTCTCCCTTTTGGTCTGTTAAATATACTATTTAAAGTGTTTTTGAAAAAAAATGTTGATCCTGTAAGAAACTGTAGCCAGCCTGCTCCCTATTGCACCTGCCCACTGAGAGAGAAAGTTCTCTCTCAGGTCCAACCGCAAAAAAATATTTTTTGCCGGTTGCTTGAGAGTGCTGGTTGGTTGAATGCCGGATAATGTGGAGTGTACTGTACAAACAAACTAGTGTTTCAGTTGGTTTTCAACCTAGAGGTGTGTTAGGGACATTGAGAGACCCATCACGGGACAGTGAGTAATGTGAATAGTTCTGGATAATAGACTTAATTTAATGGCTTATATTACACAGTTTAAAAAGTGCTGTATCATATGTTGACACAATATAAATACTTTGAATAAATAATAGTAATGTATCCATCATTAGGCTGACATTTAGAACTGCATGAATGTATTCTCATCAAGTGTTTTCACTGAAGTAAATAGCACATTTCTTTACATAGTTAGTTGCAGTCACTCTGCATGGAATTTACTGTATGTATTTGATATAATTTATTTATAGATCTTACAAATTCGTCAGCACTTTAAAGAGTACAAACACCTTTAGGGCAGTCACTGCTCTTAAATAGCTTATCATCTAACATTCCTTTCAGTCATACAGAAACATACAAACACTTTGGCTAATTTAGGTAGAAGCTAATGAACCCATTAGTATATTTTTGGGTTGTGGGAGGAAACCACAACGTCCATTCCAGTGGGAATCCAAAAAAACCTGGGAAGAACATACAAGCTCTATACAGACAGTGCCCTACAGCTTCAAGACAAAGTGTTCCCCACTTAACCACCATGTTTGCCACTGCAATACATGCATTAATGTAAAAGCCAGGAGGGCGACCGTGGCCAGGGCTGCTGACAGGATGGTACAGGCAGCCCTCCTGTACTGGGCAGGCCCTATCAAGTTAGCAGGGGGGGCCCGAACCCAGCACGGGCTGCCTGTAGGGAAGGAGAATGGTCTAGCTCACTTGCCATGGTAACCAATTGATTGGCAGGCGTCATCCCTACAGGGACCCATAGTCTGCATAGAAGGAGGAGAGGAGCCTGTCAATCAGCTTGTTATCATGGTGAGTGGGCAGGAACATCCACTGGGCATACCTATCAGTGTCCCTTTTGCTCCCTGGGCTGTGCTGATCAGATGCAGGGAGGAACTGTGACTTTCAGCACATTTGGCTCCACCCCCTGCACCACCCACAGTCAATGGTATCAGAAGCGGGAGTCCTAGCATGAGTTAAGCTGCAGAGAGTGAGCAGCTTAACAGAGAGTAGGGGAGGGGGGTCAGCAGTGTTAGAAGAGAGTGCAGAGGTGAACAGTGTAGGAAGAGGAATGCAGGGGGTGCCGAAGGGGGCAGTGTAGGACGATGGATGCAGGGGGTGGAGAGGTGAGCAGTGTAGGAAGAAAGATGACAGGGGTGCAGTGGTGGGCATTATAGGAGAAGGGATGTAGGGTGTGCAGAGGTGAACAGTGTAGTAAGAGGGATGTAGGTGTAGGCATTGTAGGAAGAGGGATGCAGGGGGTGCAGAGGTGAACAGTGTAGGGGAATGGGATGTAGAGATAGGCAGTGTAGGAGAAGGGTTGCAGGGGGTGCAGAGGTGAACAGTGTAGGAAGAAGGATGCAGGGGGTGCAGAGGTAAAACAGTGTAGGAAGAGGTATGCAGGGGATGCAGGAATGTATATGTGGGTGGGGCTTGTATATGGGCAGAGCACAAGGGGCCCCCATAACCTCATATTGCCCGGGGGCCCCATGTGTTGTCAGTCCACCCCTGTGTACCTGCTTCCATCTAAATTATCCCATTAGTATATTTTTGGGTTGTGGGAGGAAACCACATTGTCCATTTCAGTGGCAATGCACAAAATGTTGGAATAACATACAAACTCCATGCAGACATTGCCCTACAGCAATGGGGATGTGGGAGGAAACCACACCATCCATTCCAGTGGTAATGTTAAAAAAACTTAGGAAGAACATACAAACTCCATGCATAAAGTGCCCTACAGCTGAAAGGCAGGGGTTTGCCATGTAACCACCCTATTTACCACTGCAATGCATGTATCAACATATACACTTCCACCAATGTAACCCGTCAGAATATTTTTAGGGTTTTGGAAGGAAACCACACCATCAATTCCAGTGGTAAAGCAAAAAAACTAGGAAGAGCATAAAAACTCCATGCAGACAGTGCTCTACAGCGGCATGGCAAAGTGTCCCCCATTCAGTCACCATGTTTACCACTGTAGTACACCAATTAACGTACTTATTTTAATGCATACTCCCTTATTAATTACTCAATTCAACTTATGTTACTGCAATAACACAAAACTTGTGAAAAATAGAATTCTTGTGCATGAAATTGGTCATGTCGTTGAGTTTCATATTACTATTTCAACAGGAAGAACCCTGAAACTGCCCCGTATACTGGTAAAACACAAAATAACGCAACAGCTGAAAAGTTTGTAACAATGGAGCGCATTCTTACAAATGTCTTCCCGGATTGCCCGTACACAATAATATAGTATTTAAAAGTCAAAGTGGTGCAACAGGTTCCTTGACTCCTTCATTCCTTCTACGCTGAAGAGTTAATCAAAACAAATATTAGGGATTCACTTTCCACTGATATTTACTAAACGGAGAGGGTAGGAAGCTGCAGCATTTAACTCTACTGAGTCTTTTATCTGGGACATCACTTTAACACAGAATGATTGTAGAAAGGAAGAATAAAATGACATGATCGCATGTTTGGATTGCTCTAGAGATCACATTTGGACACAAACTTTTCTGGGAATCTACAGGGTTGTGCAATTCAAAAGGAAAAATGAGATTATTACTGACCTTCCACATAGCCCCACTCTTGGTTTTCCTTGTCTGCTTGCAGTTCAGAGTTGTCTATATACTGCCGATCAGCCATCTGTGTCCTCTCTCTGTCTGCTCTTTGGATGGAAGAGTATTGAGAGGTTCAGAGTTTAGTTGTGAGTGTGACTTGAGCAGGGCATGCTATGCTGTATTCTCCTCTATACTCCTCTATGCACAGCCACTAGGAGCTGTCACTCCTGTCTGTGTCTGTGCAGCAGAGGGGAGGAGGTAAGGCTCCTAATCACTGCAATTATGTGATGATCACAACCTCTACATGCAAGGCTGGAGCCTGGACTAGGCAGATATTTAAATGTTTAGTGGTAGGTGGTGCCAGAGAGGGACTTGGCTGCAGGAACACAGATGATCTGTACTCAGGAAGGTCCTGGCTCTCTAGCACTGTACAAAGTGTGTCATTGCAAAGGAAGTTGTAGACTTCTTACTTAAAGTGACACTAAACTCAGCAGTTAAATCTTTAAAATACATTCAAGTACCTTAAATATTAACACAAATGTATCTTACTTGTGTAGCAATCGACTGTAGGTCCTCAAATCATCTCTGAATTGGTGCTCTTCCTTCTGAAGGGTGGCTATTTTTGTTCTCCATGGTCCCTGTGTGTGTGATGTAAAGTAGCCACCGCTACAATATGGGCAGTAGCACATGCCTGTGATGGAGTACAATCGCATGTTTAGTTTACTAACTTGTATTGTAGTTACTGTATAATCAATCATGGGAATGGTCTTGGAGTGGTGACTGGTTTGCAGCAGACACTGGGACCATGGGGAACAAAAGTTGCCAACCTCCAGAAGGAAGGACAGTGCCAGCATGAATTCAGAGATGATTTGAGGATCTACAGCCGAGTGATACACAAATAAGCTACATTTGTGTTAATAGTTAAGGTACTTGAATGCGTTTTAAAGATTTAAAGTGTCACTTTATTGTGTCACAAAATTGATATAGAAATTCAGGTTGAGACATGTTAAAATGGCATGCTAAAGCAAATATGACATTTTTGTTTGATGATTTTAGTGAAGCTTTAAAGCGACACTAAACTCAGGAGTTAAATCTTAGAAATGCATTCAAGTACCTTAACTATTAACACAATATCCCTTATTTGTGTATCACTTGGCTGTAGATCCTCGAATCATCTCTGAATTCATGCTGACATTGTCCTTCCTTCTGGAGGGGGGCTACTTTTGTTCCCCATGGTCCATGTGTGTCTGCTGCAAACCAGTCACCACTCCAAGACCATTCCCATGATTGATTATAACTACAGCGCAAGTTAGTAAACTAAACATGCGATTGTACTCCATCACAGGCATGTTAAAACTCCAGTCAGGGCTACACTTTAATCAACCAGATTTTCAGTATCTCCTCAAAGGCAGAGGCTATAATCTAAAATGCTTTTTGCCACGTGCTGATCCTTCCTCTATCAAATTACTGGATTGCTTAACATTCTTATCATACCATTGTTTTTCTTTTGCTTATGCTGAACAGCATTTCTTTCACTTGCAGTTGTTTTTTTTCATTATTGCTTTAGTAAGTCAGGTAAGACATATGGGGGCCATGCCTCTTTGCAGACAGTGCAGTAAGGTGGTATTTGCATAAACAGTAGGGATGAGGTTCAGGTTTGCCTTTACCATTGGTTTGTGGCAAATCCCTAGATTTTGCTGAGAGTGCAATACGTCCTGAGAGGTGCTATACTATGGATTGCAGTGGTGGGCAGGGCCGCCATCAGGGGGTAAGGCCGATACTCAAGTAAGGGGCCCGGGCAGCCTGAGGGGCCCGGGGACCTTACATGAGTATCGTCCGACGGCCGTACAGGTGACTGGCAGGAGGTGGAGGTGGCCGGGCCCCATCAGCACCAGTGGAGGCCTCCGGTGTCCCCCTGTCTCCACTGCAGTGACTGCACGGTAGCGGCGGCCATCTTTAAACCTGGCAAGTGCCCACATGTAATTTAATATATTGCCGAAACGGCAATATATTAAATGAAAATCATTCCCTGGTGGTCAGGTGGGGAATCAGTATGATCTGCATCTCTTGCTGATGCAAATCATACTGATCGCTCCCTTGTGGTGCCGCCACTGACAGGCAGGGAGCGATTAGTATGGTCTGCATCAGCCTGAGATGCAGATCACACTGATTCTCCACTCGACCATCAGGATAAACCCCAAGTGCCACACTGGACCCCCAGGAATGCAGCCCCCTTCCTGCAAAACAGGTAAGCAGGAGAGGGGAACATTTTTTAATTAACTATTGTTATTAGTTGTGTGTGTGTTTTTTTATTGTGTTTTTTTTCAATTAATGAAGCTATGTGTGTGTTTTTAATGAGTGTGTGATATGTGTGTTTCATTACGTGTGTGTGGTTTTTTTTAACCACTTCCCGTGCATTCATGTAAATGTACATGCTCCGCTGGAATTGGTTATACCAAGAATATGGCTGCTCCTGCAGCCGTGTTCTTGGTACCGTTTTAAGGCCTGTTCACACCACTTGCAGTGCGTTCCGGCCGGGGACCTTACATGAGTATCGTCCGACGGCCGTAGAGGTGACTGGCAGGAGGTGAAGGCGGCCGGGCCCCATCAGCACCAGTGGAGGCCTCCGGTGTCCCCCTGTCTCCACTGCAGTGACTGCACGGTAGCGGCGGCCATCTTTAAACCTGGCAAGTGCCCACATGTCATTTAATATATTGCCGTTTCGCCAATATATTAAATGACATGTGGGCATTCGAGTGCAGTGCGATTAAAATGCTGCAAGCACTGTTTTGATCGCACCCGAACTCACGGCAGGCACAATGTGCCATGCGATCCTGTGCAGGCTGTCGCATTGCAGCCGGAGGGCGTGGCTACGGTGCCATTCACTTCAATGGCCCGCCACTCCCCCTCCAGCCCGGCGAAAAAGTGAGGCGGCCGCAATGCGGGAAGTGCGTTCTGGTCAGAATCCGACCGGAGCGCATTGCTTATGGTGTGAACTAACCCTAAGCCCTGTGTCCAGTAGACATGTGCGATTCGTTTTGGAAAATTAGTTTTCCGGATGAAATTCGTTAGCGGTAGTCTGTATGCATTTTCGTTTGTGGACGAATTTTCATTGCAGCAAAGTGACAATTAAAAAAAAAAAATGAATGTCACTTTGCTGCAATGAAACAAATGATACCAACATGAAACGGAAATGAACATTCGTACAGACTACTGCTAACGAATTTCGTCCGAATCCCAAAAAAACAAAATAATGCAAAATCCGAATCAAAACAAGATGAAACAAAACAATTTTTTTGTCGGTGCACATGTCTAGTGTCCAGCGCGTCACTTATCCGTGAGTCCAGTGGGTCACAAAGCCCTGCGTCCAGTGGGTCACGAAGCCCTGAGTCCAGCGGGCCATGAAGCCCTGTGTCCAGCGGGTCACGAGGCCCTGCGCCCAGCGGGTCACGAAGCCCTGCGCCCAGGGGGTAATGTGACTGTGGGGGGCATATTAGAGTGTAAGCTCCTCTGTACAGAGACTGATGTGACTGTGGGGGGG